CTGGCCGGCTGCCGAGCACCCCCTCCTCGCCCCCCTCCGACCCCCGCCCGTTGTCGCCGTCGACTTGAGGCCGGGTCCGCCTCCTGGTCCGCCGACGGACAGAGGGACAGAGGGTCGGCAGGGAGGGGAGCCCGGCCAGCGGTGCCGGGAACGGGCGCGGTTCTGGGAAATCGACACGGGGGCGGGGCCGGGCCGCGGGACGGGTGGACCCTGGGCCCCTCCGGCTGCCGACCCGCCGGCTTCTCCTCGGTCCGCAGGTCCCAGCGTCGCCATGTCGCCCAGGCCGACCCCGCGCGCGCCCCTGCTGCTGCTCTTGCTGCTGCTGCTGCTGCTGTCTCCGGCCGTGGCCGTGGTGAGCGGGGACAGGACGGGGTTTGCCATTAACCCTTCAGGGTCGGGGTCGGATGCGGATCCGGATCCAGGAGAGTCCTGACTGGCGGAGTGGCCTTGGGCGAGTCGCTGCCCCCCTCCTGGTCCTGATTTAGGATCCGGAGAGAACTAGAGCCCGCCCGTCCTAGTCCGCCCCACAGCCCGCCGGAGGTGGCCGAGCCAAGGGGGCAGGGAGGCCAGGGCTGGAGGGCAGTTGCTACCCCTGCCCCAGGCCGTGCCCCCGACTCCCTCAGGCTGTGCCCAGCTGGGGCCTGGGGAAGGGGGTGCCCCCCCAGACGGGTCCCAGGAGGTCCCCAAAGCAGGTGGGGACCCAGGACTCGCCCACCCCGGCAGGTCGCTGGCTTCTATCGCAGAAAGGGAAGTCTCAGAATCAGAGGCAGACCGGTTTGTGAGGCGGAGGTTTGAAAGCACCCTCGGAGCAGAGTGGGGTGTGCGGGAGGGAGAGGCCGCGTCCGGACGCCTGTCCCCCGGTCGTGGGTCTGTCAGAACCCCACCGTCCAAAGCATCTGACAGAGAGAGTGCTGTCCCCTCAGGCGGGGCCCCAGGTTCGAGGCCGGGCGGCTGGAGGAGGAGCGGGCAGGCTCTCGGTTTCTGAGCCCTCAGGAGTTTTCCTGGAAGGAGGGAACAAGGCTGGGTTGGCTTTGTGTCCCGAAGTGCACGTTTTCTTTTCAAGTACGATTTGAACGCAGACCCTGTGCTGTGGGTGTGGGGTCCACTGTCTCACCTTGGTTTCCCCCTCCAGTTGCCGCCCTGCGGTGGCTCCCAGAGCTTGTTGCTTAAGCCGGAGCCTCTGTTTCTCTGGCTGAGAAAGAGGGTAAGACACAGTTGTTCAGCCCAGGAGCTACTGGTGCTCGGGGCTGGACGGTTCCCGCCAAGGGCCACCCTGTGCTGCAGCCTCTCTGACCTCTGCACTCGGACTCCCAGTGTCTCCCCTCCTCCCTGGCTTAGGAAAACCAAAGGAAAAGCCCCAGACCCGCCAGATAGCTCCTGGCGTCCAAACTGTCCCAGAGCCCATGGTCCAGTTTCAATTTCCTCTCTCTCTCCCCTCCCTCGTCCTCCACATCCTTTCCCTGTGCTTCCCTAGGGAATGTTTCTTAGTGGGATGCAGCCCACAGTTGGGAAACTCCAGTGGCCTGTAACACAGGCCACAAGTTCAAAGGTCTGTTGCTGGCCAGGCAAGTGAATCCAGGCACGCAGCTATGCCCAAGAAAACAGCTGGGAGAGGTGGCACACTCCTGTGATCCCAGCACTCGGGAGGCTGAGGCAGGGGGATCTCTGTGAGTTCAAGACCAGCCTAAACCACATAGCAAGACCCTGTCTCAAAAAAAAAAAAACAAAAGAAGAAGAAGAAGAAGAAAACTTCTTTCCAGGCAGTGCTTGGACAGAAATAGCAGAATCCAGGATTTCCCCTCCTTCTGAGGGAAGCCCCTGCCCCAACCTGCCCCAGCACTGAACCCTCCGGAAGGCACTGTGAGGGCTCCAGGGCTGGCCCCTCACCCACCAGGCTGGGCAAGAAGTGACCTCTGATCCAGGCTGGCTTTCCACCTGCTCTTCCCCCTTGGAGATCCTGCAGGAACAAAGCTGAAACCCGGTCTCTTGAACCGCAGGATGGAGCCTTCTTGAGCCCCACGGCTCTTGGGCCCAGCTCCGAGGCCCTGGTGCAGCAGCAGGCGGAGAGCAGAGGTACTGGTGTCCCTGAGACGGCACCCACCCGAGGATCCGCCAACTCCTCCACCCGGCCAGCACCCAGTGCCATGGTGGAGTCGGTCACCATAGTGCCAACCACCAATGGCTCTGTCACCCTGTCCCCCACGGAGCCCCCCACCCCGCCCCCCACAAAGCCCCTCTGCCCTGGCCCTGTCGCCCCCTGCTCCAGTGCGGACACTCAGGTGGCAAAGGTCGTCCTGGGGGATGCGCTGACCGACTTCTCCCTGAAGCTGTACCGTGCCTTTGCCGCTGCGAAGAACACGGAAACCAACATGGCCTTCTCCCCCTTCAGCATTGCTAGTCTCCTCACACAGGTCCTGCTGGGTAAGGCTCCTCCCACCTCCTCTCTGGGTCCCCACACCAGATCCCTCCAGGAGTCTGTGCCCCCGGAAGAAGCAACAAAATGGGCTCTGCGGGGGCAGGTGCGGTCTCCCTTTCATTCCTGAACTTGCTTGTAACCCCAGTACTCAGGGAGGCTGAGGCAGGAGGACCCCAAGTTCAGGCTCAGCCTGGGGCAACTTAGCAGAAGGCTGTTTCAGAGTGAAAGGTTAAAAAAGGCCTGAGGGTGTAGCTCAGCCTGAAGGCCCTGGGTTCAGTCTTCAGTGCAAAACTAAGAGATCCTTGATTTGATAGGCACTGTTATTTGAACCGTGCTTCAAGGCAAGATAGGCAGGAGGGAAGATGAAACCATCCCAGAGAGGGCTGGACTAGGAGCCTGGTGTCCCTGCTCTCCAGCTGGGCGGGCTTGCCCAGGTGCTTCAGCCTCTCTGAGCCTCAGTAAGATGGTGAAATCTACCTCAAGCAATGAGGACCAGAGGAGCCTAGCACCTGGCTCAGCCGGAAGTCAAAAAAATGTTAAACCCTCTGCCTTCCCTGGGGACTCATTACCCGAGAAATGGCACAAACAAATTACCACAAGCGATGGCGATACAGCAGTCCCTCCCCGTGGATTGAAATCCAGGGAGGCTACTGGAGACAGGACCAGGAACATGGAACTTTCTTCCAGGCCCAGCATGGTGGTCCAAACCTGTCATCCTAGCACTGGGGAGGCTAAGGCAGGAGGATCACCGGGAGTTCCAGGCCATCATGGGATACACAGTGAGACTCTGTCTCAATAATAATAATAAACAGTGGTCTGGTGTCCGTTGCCTGTAGGGTGAACCCAAACCAACTAAATAATAGCTCATGTGGAACAGACATGCTCAAGCTTGGCTTTGATTGTTTGTTTGTTTTGGGGGTTTTTTTTGGTACCGGGGATCCAACTCGGGACCTTGCGCTTGCCAGGCAGGAGGTGGAACCACTGAGCTAAATCCCTGGCCACTGTAATAATGTTTTAATTTAGACATTCCCTGTGTTTGTCACTCAAACGGCGTATCGTTTGCCAGCAGTGTCTTCACTCTCCCCCTGGGGTCCCCTCCACAGAGGGGCCACTGTGGTCCGCCCTCCTCAACCCAGCCATCTCTGCCTTTTCCACAGGGGCCGGGGACAGCACCCGGAGCGGCCTGGAGAGCGTCCTCTCCTACCCGCAGGACTTCGCCTGCGTCCACCAGGCCCTGCAGGCCTTTGCATCCAAGGGCGTCAGCTCCGCCTCCCAGATCTTCCACAGCCCAGGTGAGGGGGTGCTGGGAGGGGACAATGCTGAGGAGGACAGGAGGGACAGAGGGAGCTGGGGTGTCTCTGATGAGGGCCTAGGCACAAGTTTCCAAGGGCTCCGGAGCTGGCTGGACCCAGGCCAGGCATCTGGTTCCTCCTGCCCAGGCTGGGCTTGAATTTATGATCCTCCTGACTCAGCCTCAACTCCCTATGTAGCCCAGGCTGGCCTCGAACTCGCAGCAGTCCTCCTGCCTCAGCTTCCCAAGTGCTGGGATGACAGGTGTGCACTACTGTGGGTGGCTTTCTGATCTATTTAGTTCAGGAAAATTTTTTGTTTCAAATACCGTTTTCTCTGATGCACTTGTGCTCTGGAAATGAGAAGCCAAGATGCCCGGGAGGGAACCTCCCCAAGCTTGTGCCCTGCTGAATTACAGGAAGAGAGAGGGTGAGCCATGGAGGTGCAAGGAGGTCAATAGTGCAGTCCCTCACCATGTGGTGGGCGCAGCAGGACTCGTCCTCCCACATGTGGCTTAGCGTTTGTCTTCTTTGGGACTCCTGCCTGCTGGTGGCAGTGGAGGGCCCAGACCCCTCCACCGGTCCTGGCCTCTTGGTGTGCGTGGGGCCAGGAGGGACCTCAGACTCACCGCCCGCCCGCCTGTGCCAGACCTGCCCATCAAGGACAGCTTTGTGAATGCCTCCCAGCGCCTGTACGGCAGCAGCCCCCGGGTGCTGGGCAATGACAGCACTGCCAGCCTGGCGCTCATCAATGGCTGGGTGGCGGAGAGCACCAACCACAAGATCAGCCGGCTGCTGGACAGCCTGCCGCCCGACGCCCGCCTGGTGCTGCTCAACGCCATCTACCTGAGCGGTGAGGAGTCCCCAGGGCGTTGGCCGTCCCGGGGTGCGCCCTGCTCCCAGCCCTGACCCCGGGTCCCCCAGCCACACCCACAGCCTGAAAGCCACCCCCTCTGCCCCATAGCCAAGTGGAAGCAGCCCTTTGAGCAGCAGAAGAGGCTGGAGACCTTCCACCTCAGGAACTCGGTCATCCAAGTGCCCATGATGAGGAGCAAGAAGCACCCGATGGCACACTTCAATGAGCCCACCCTGAGGGCCAAGGCAAGTCCACCGCCTCCTTCTCCCCAGGCCCCGAGCCCTTGGGTGCAGCCATGCAGCTCCGCCACTGCTGTCTCCAGTCTCCGCCCTGTCTGTGCTGCTCCTCCTCCTCCGCTTTCCAGTCTTGGCCAAGCCAGACATTGTGTGTCTTAGGCTGGACGTCCTGACTCAGTTTCCCACTGTCTCTGCTGCACTGGGCAGCCAAAGTGAGTCAGGTTTCTGCTCTGAGCTTCTGAGTCTCTAGCCGTCAACCCCTAGGTGGGCTGGTGGCTGCTCGCATTCTGTATATGTGTGTGTGTGTGTATGTGTACTGGTGTACAGCATGCATGCCTGTGTGCACACATGCACAGAGTCCAGGCATGACATGTATGCAGTGTTTGAATGACTGAAATGGTTTACATTCCTTAGCAGAAATGGAACAACGTAATGGCAATGGTTAGAGCTGGGCGTGGTGGCGCAGCCTGTCATCCCAGCACTCTGGGAGGCTGAGACAGGAGGGTCACAAGTTCAAGGCCAGCCTGGGCAATGTGGTGACTCAGCGAGACCTTGTCTCAAAATAGATATGAAAAGGGGGTTGGGATTGTGGCTCTGTGTGAAAACCCTGGGTTCAACCCCCTCCTTACAGCAAATAAGTGAAATAAATAATAACTTCCGTGGGTGAGGAGAGAGGGAAGACAGCAAATGGACCGCAGAGGTTTCCAGGGACTCAAGCATCTGAGGCTGGTGGCCCAGACTGGAGGAGCAGATGCAGGGCCCAGGAGAGAAAGCAGCGCCGTGAGGCCGCCCGGCCCGAGGTGGCGGAGGTGGGGCCCTGTACCCAGAGCAGCTGCTGCTCCTGGCTTGTGCCTGCCTGGCTCCTCCTCTCAGTGCTGCGGAGCTTCTTCCCCCGGCTCTCTGGGTCCAGCTCAAGGCTGAGAGGCTGTTCCCCTTCCAGGAGCCTCCTGCTGCCCTGGAACACCCTCGAGTTATCGCCTCTCATTTCCCCTCGCTGGCTGCTCTGTCCCTCTGAGATGTCACTGTCTCCTGCCCTGAGATGTGGCCTCCATCCTTGAGCACAGGACACTGTCTTGTTGCCTTCTGAATCCACAGGGCCTAGAGGGGACCAGATACAATCAGGGCCCTGCACTGTTTGCTGAGTGAATAAATAAATGCATGAAATGGGGTCTCTGGGGAGCCACCTACTGCATGTGAACAGCTGGGAACCTTTCCCCAGGAGGTTGCTTTCTGCCATTCTTTTCTGGTTTTTTGAGACAGGGTCTCGCTATGTAGTTCAAGCTGCTCTGAAATTCCCAGTGGTCCTCCTGCCTCAGCATCCTGAGTGCTGGGATGACATGCGTGTACCACCGCGCCCAGCTCTCAACCATTCTGTACATATTATTTAGCCGTCCCTAGGCTTAGCCAGCCATCCTGAACGTTGGAGACTTTTTCTGTCATTATTCCCTAAACAGAGCAGGATAGTGACTCGGTAGTGGGTATTAGAAGTCGTCCAGGGCCAGACGATGTGGAGTGTATAGGAGGCTGTGCACAGTTCTCAGGCGGGTATTACACCACTGTTTCTATAAGGGACTTGAGTGTCAAGGGCTTTGGTATCTACCCAATTCCTGGAACACATTTCCATGGACAGAGAGAGGGATGACCGCACGTGAGGGACAGTATCAATCTGAGGGGTTTTTATGCATAAGGAGTACTTTAATGATTTTCTCATTGCTCGGACAAAATACCTGACACACACAATTTAAAGGAGGAGAGGTTTATTTCAGCTCACAATTTGTAGAGGTTTTGGTCCATAGCTGGCTGGCTCCAAAGGAGGACGGCATGGCAGAGAGAAACAGCCCATGGCAGAGCAGGCAGGAGGCAGCAAGCAGCAGCCTCCCTTTCCCTTTTATTCCATCCAGGCTACAAGCCTATTATTTGGTGACATCCACACCGAGGGTGGGGCTTCCCTTCCTCATCAATAACGCCATTACCTACAACCACAGGAAACCAATCAGTGGACCAATCCATTCATCACACAACCATGATCCAGCCATTACCCAAAAGCCCCACCCATGAGCTCAAGAGGCTTTGAGGGGAGATCTAGACATAAGCCATAACAAGGAGAATTTTGTTCACAAAAACCACTATTACATTTCCTTGGGGTTTTGAATAGATATTTAACTTAATGTATTAACATTATATATACAGGGCAAGCTGGGTGTTTTGGTGCACACGTGTAATCCCAGCACTCTAGGAGGCTGAGGCAGGAGGATCACAAATTTCAATCCCAGGCTGGGCAACTAAGCAATTTAGCCAGATCCCATCTCAACATAAAAAATTCAAAGAAGGTTCCGTGGATGCATCTTGGCTCAAAGGCCTTGGGTTCAATCCTCAGTACTGCATAAATAAATAGATTAATTAATCAATTCAGGCTTGGGGATATAGCTCAGAAGTAGAGCACTTGCCTAGTGTGCTCAAGGCCTTCTGCCCAGCAGCCCACTCAAACCCCAAAATTACAAATTCAAAATCAAAGTTTTGCTTATACCTTTTAATTTTAAGTGAACTCTCGACATTATAATAAACTTTATTAAAAAACGTTTTCATTGGGCCAGGGATTTAGCCCAGTGGTTCCGCAGCCTGCCTTGCAAGTGCAAAGTCTCGAGTTCAATCCCTGGTACCAAAAAAACAAAAACAAAAAGCACTTTCTTGAGCCATATAGAACAGATTATATTCCTTTTAATTGTTTGTCCCATTTACAAACATAGTTAATTAACAATCCCAAGGCATTGCAAGGCCCCTTTATAGATGCAGTGCACTTCATTTTCTTTGTAGCCCGTCCAGTGCCCAACAGGCAGAATCCAGCTGGCATGGCCGCATCATTCCAGGAGGCCCCAGAGCCCATTTGTGAGCTGAAAATTAAATTGATGAGTAAATCAACTTCAACCCAACATTTATTTTTTTTTTTTGGTACTGGGGATCAAACTCGGGTCCTTGTGCTTGCAAGGCAAGCAACAGAACCACTGAGCTCAATCCCTGGCCCTCTACCCAACATTTTAATATCATTCCCAAACTTAATGAAGCTGTCCTGTAACTTTTTGCTTAACAGCATTAAAAATAGCAGAGTAGGGCCGGGAATTTAGCTCAGTGGTTCTGGTGCCTGCCTCGCAAGCTCAAGGTCCCAAGTTCAATCCCTGGTACCAATAAATAAATAAATAAATAAATAAAATAAAACTAGCAGAGTCTCTTAAAACTCATAAACACTATTGTATTCATTCATTCATTCTTGCGAACTTGCTGAATTCCCCAGGCTAGGCTTGCACTTACAATCAAGATCTTCCTGCCTCAGCCTCCCAGAGTGCTGAGATTACTCTCTGTTTAACACCTGCTGTTAATATGTCGGAGTTAGTTTCCTAAATCTTCCTGGGATTTTAGGGTATTTATCCAAGCCAGGGGCTTAGATTTACGACTCACCTATGCTGAGATGCCTGACTTGAGAATTCCAGTTCACCATGGTAAACTTTTGGTCACAGTCAGTCTATCTGCAGGAACTGAGAGCCCCACAGAGCCTGGGCGAATGCATCGTCTTGGGGCCGAGGCTTCAGGGACCCCTCATCCATCCTTGGTTAATGTCTGTTTGCGACCTGCTTCCTGGGGACCATGCTAGGCTCCGACCACAGCCGGTTTCTGCTCACTCCTAGTTCAATTCCTCCTGCTTCTGGATTCTTTCTGCCCATCTTCCCTGCAGCCATCGCCAAGGTTTCAGCCTTGGTGCCCAGCCCTGCAGGGCTGGGTGCCTCTCTGCTGTGGGGCTCAGGTCCTGTGCTCGAGAGGTTTTCAAATCCCCTCCAATCCCACTCAGCAGCAGCCAGGAGTGAGGTTTGTATGTCCTCCCAGGCCCCACCAGCTGTGGCAGCCAAAGCCTAGATGTCACCAGATATCCTCTGGGGGGCAGAGTCACCCTGAATTTAGAACCCCTGAATTAGAACCATGAGTCCTGAGCTGGCATGGTGGCACATGTCTGTCATCCCAACACTCAGGAGGCTGAGGCAGGAGGATTGCCACAAGTTTGAGGCCAGCCTGGGCTCCACAGTGAGACCTTGTCTCTAAACAACAAAGCTAGAGGCCCAGCCTGGGGAGATGGCGGGAGCGGGAGAGAGCTGGCGGAGCTGACCGGTGCCTGTTGGTTCCCAGGTGGGGCAGCTGCAGCTCTCACACAACCTGAGCTTCGTGATGCTGGTGCCACAGAGCCTTCGGCAGCCCCTGGAGGACCTGGAGCAGGCACTGAGTCCCACGCTCTTCAGGGCCATCATGCGGAAGCTGGAGATGTCCAAGTTCCAGCCCACGTACCTGGTGATGCCACGCATCAAGGTGACGGGCAGCCAGGACCTGCTGCCCATCATGGAGAAGCTGGGTGAGGCCTGCAGGGGGCGCTGTGGGCTGGGGGAGGGCAGCGCTGTCCCCCAAGGCAGTTCCCATTCTGAGTCTATCTTTGTTTTTCATTGCACTGATTTATTGATTTATTTGGGGGTATTTTTGTGTTGGTTTTTTTTTTGTACTGGGGATTGAACTTGGGTCCTTGGGCTTGCACAGCAGGCGGCAAAACCACTGAGCTAAATCCCTGGCCCTATTTGGGGTATTTTTGAGACAGGGTCTCGCTATGTAGCTCAGCCTGCTCAAGCTTGCAGAGATCCTCCTGCCTCAGCCTCCTGAGTGCTGGGACCACAGGTGTGTGCCCTGCCTAGCCTAGGGGAGATGATGGAGTCCCCACTTCCTAAGCTTGGACCGAGTGACCTTCACCTCCTGCTGCAGGACCTGCCCGCCTTGAGCAGGGTCTCAGGTCCTAGTCTGCGGCATCTGCAGGAAAACAGTCCTCTCATCTGCACTCCAGCCACAGCCAAGCAGGTCTCCAGTTCTCCAGCTCCAGTCCTGAGGCGGCATCAAACCCAGCACTGGAGGCTCCGCCTGCCAGGCAGCCCGCAGACACCAGGCACAAATCAGAGCTTCCGGCAGCCTCTGGGGGCCAGGCCTGGCTACAGCAGCCGGCACCACCAGGGCAATCATGTTTGTTTACCGGTGTACTACACAAGGAGTGATCCAAGCCTGCGGTGAATGTTTAGGTTTTAAGGGTATCACAGGGAAACACATGGCCATGAACCCCTCAGAACCTCCCTTCAATTCAGAAACACTCCTCCCACTGGCCCAGCTGATTTCTGCTGAAGCTCTGCAGTCCTCTTTCCCCAGCATCTGTATGAGGTGTGATCAAAAATAAGGTGACTGCTGCTGCCAAGCGCCACCCAGCGGAAAGGCAGCTCACAAACACACAATGCTGTGTCCTCACCCACCTTAGTCACTGGATCTGGCACCGTGTGACTTCTGGGTCTTCTGGGTCTTTCGACCATGAAAGAAAAACAACTGGAATCCATTCAGGGCACCGAGGCACCCAGGACAGCGCAGCTAAAGACCCTCAGGAGAGAGGACTCCACAGCTGCTGCAGGAAGTGGCCAGGATGGTGGGAGGAATGTGTTCGAGGTGAGAGGGTGGATTTTGAGAAGGATTCACAGCAGAGGGATTTTGCTGTGATCATCTTTTTTTTTAATTTAAGCACTGACCGTATTTTTTGATCGTGCCTCAGGTAACACAGCAGCTGTGGTAACCACCTAGCTGGGGGAAGAGGTGCGCAGGGCAACAGGTCAAAGTGGTGTTGGCCTGCAGGGAGCCCTGGGGACCCCACACCCTAGGGTCTGTCCCCAGGCCTTGAGCAGAAGCCAGACTCACAGCTCCAAGCTTCCAGCCACCACCTGGTCTCCCTAGGGGACACCAACAGCCCCTCCCTGGAAGATCAACCCCCCTGCCATCAAAGAATTCCCGGGGACCTAGGATGCCACTCAAGCACCCAGGGCCAGAGAGCAAACGCTAGACCCAAAGCTACGCCTGGCGCCCAGTGCTGAGGAATTGTCGGGATTCTGCAGCTCTGGTGGGGTCTTTGGGCAGAGCACACAGTTCCCATTCCGTACTTCCTTGGACCAGCACCTCACCTGTAGGCGGCCTCCTTTTACAACAGGAGACCGAGCCATGGTGGGTGACTTCTCCACCATCACTGGAGACCAGGAAGTCTTGACATCATTATTTAGGGGGTTTTGGGGGGTGGGGCCTCTCAGCTCCCAAGAGACAGTGATGGTTCCGATTTGAGAGACTCACAAATGGAAGAAGGCTAACTGGGTGTGGTGGCGCAGGCCTGTAATCCCATCACTTGGGAGGCTGAGGCAGGAGGATTCCCATGAGTTTGAGGCCTGCCTGGCTCCATAGTGAGAGGCTGTCTCAAAAAACAAAACCAACTAAATGGCAGAAGGCCGATGTGTAACCTGACGAGCTAGGCAGGAGGAGGAAGGGCATGGGGCCTTGGGGAAAACCCTGAACACTGAAAACGAAGGTCTCCATCCGTAGGCCTTTCATGCGGGTCTCTGACTGCTCACTTCCTGCTTTGCCATAGAATTCTTCAACTTCGCCTATGACCTCAACCTGTGTGGGGTAACGGAGGACGAGGACCTGCAGGTGTCGGCGATGCGGCACCACACGGTGCTGGAGCTCACTGAGACTGGCGTGGAGGCGGCCGCAGCCTCCGTGGTCACTGTGGCCCGAAATCTGCTGATCTTCGAGGTGCAGCAGCCCTTCCTCTTCCTGCTCTGGCACCAGGAGCACAAGTTCCCCGTCTTCATGGGCCGGGTCTATGACCCCAGGGCCTAGAGCCGGGAGCTTGGCGGGGGCCATCGCTCCTGGCTCCCGGGTGCAGCCTTGCTGCTGCTGCCTCCCTCCTGGCAGCCCCTCCCATGGCCCTGCACACTCTGCTCAGCACTTTTTCGGCTTTCTCTGGTTCAGGTCTACCAGGCCCTACAAATAAAAGCTGGCCAACCATGACTTGCTCTCTTGTTTGCCTTTGCATTATCAACTGGTTTAATGTTAGAGGACAATAAGCCGTGAGTGGTGGTACATGCCTTTCATCCCAAGGGTCTGAGAGGCTGAAGCAGGAGGATTGCAAGTTCGAGCCCAGCCTGGGCAATTTAGAGAGAAATTGTCTTAGAATAAAAAGGACTGGGGATGTAGCTCAGTGCAAAGGCCCTGGGTTCAATCTCCAGCAAAAAAATTTAGGATAAGAGCTACTGCACTTCCCGTATCAGCCAGCTATTGCTGCTTAACAAATCAGTCCAAGCTTAGTGGCTTACACAGTAACCATTTATTATTGTACAGAAGTCTCAGGACTGGTGGGCACAGTGGCTGAGCCAGGCTCCCCACACACACCTGCCATTGTTGGGGCCGCTGGTCTCTGGTGGTCCCACTGCCACTCCTTGGCTGTCCTCCATGGCTCCCCACAGCCTGTCACCAAGCTAACTCCAAGGCTGGGACCCAAGAAGGAAATCAGCTCGCACAGCCTCCTGTCACGTGAGTGCTTGGGTTGTTTGCCACCGTCCTGTTGGCCCAGCTGTCGATGTGAGAGCTCACCCTGCTGGGAATTCACACAGCATTCAGCTGCTTTCCCCAGGCTGAGCTCAGTAAACTCAGGCTGTTCCAAGGCCTGCAGTTAGGGTACTGGCAGCGCTGGGCTTTGAAAACAGTCTTGGGGCTCCTCCACCACCCCGGGAATGGGGACTGAATGACCCCAGGCCTCCACCTACAGCACCAGCCTTTTTTAGACATTTTCTTAGATTTGGGGACAGGGTCTTGTTAAATTGGTAAATTGCCCAGGTTGGGCTTGAATTTGCAATCCTCTTGGCTCAGCCTCTAGAGTGCTGCAATTACCGGCATGCACCACACTCCTGGCTGGGTACTGGGGATCGAGCTCGGGTCCTTGTGCTTTCGAGGCAGGTGGTGGAAACTCTGAGCTAAATCCCCGGCCCTGGCTCTATGACTTTTAAATCTATGCACATCTACTGCTTTCTGTCTTTATCCTTCTACCTTAAAATCCTGCCTTTTCTTAATATTTTATTTGAAAAGCTTTTACCAGATATCTTGGTCTGTGTTCAGCACTGAGGACATCAAAACCTGCAGCCTGCCAGGTGGTGACGCACGCCTGTGATCCCAGCACTCAGGAGGCTGAGGCAGGAAGATCACTTTGAGTTTGAGGCCAGCCTGGGCTACATAGTGAGTTCAAGGCCACCATGAACTACATAACGAGACCCTGTCCCAAAAAACAGAACAAACAAAGCCCTGCAGCCTGGCAGATGGAGGGTTTGTAGCTCGGAGTCCCTCCGCCTCTGAGGGCATGCCAATCTGCTTTTGTCCTGTCTCGCTGTCCCCCAGACTCACTGTCACTCCAGCTGCCAACCTCTCCTCACTCCTCGTCCTCCTCCTCCATCTCTCTGCCAGTCTCCCTGTCTGTCACCTCGCACTGTCTCCGGGTCCTTGGCCCCACGCAGACAGTGGCTCTGGATTCAGCCCTCCGCTTCCCCCACTGGTGAGGTGAGGCACCCAGACCCAGCCCAGCTGGGCTTTCTCCCTTCTCACCCCTTTGAGACCCGGGGCTCCCACGCACAGGAGCCAGGAGGTGCGCGCCCACGGCAGCCCCAGCATTTCAGGTCCGTCTGGATCCGGGAAGGCTGCACTGTCTGTCAGAATCCCAGTCCCTGCCGATCCTTAGGGCCTTGGCAGGTTTTTTTGTTTGTTTGTTTGGTACCGGGGATTGAACTTGGGTCCTTGCGTTTGCAAGGCAGGTGACAGAACCACTGAGCTAAATCCCCGGTCTTGGCGTTTTTCATTGAGTTGCATCCTCGGCCCTTTGTATTCCTCTGTCTCTCTCTTTCTCTCTCTTTTTGTGACATAAGGTTACACTACATAGTTCAAGCCAGCCATGGACTCGATATGTAGCTCAGGGTGGCCTCCAAATTGTGGCAACCCTCCTGTCTCAGCCTCTCAAGTGCTGGAATGACAGGTGTGCAGTACCACCCCTGGCTATTTTTCTTGTTTTTTTGTTTTTTGGTGTTTTTTTTTGGTACCAGGGATGGAACTTGGGACCTTGCACTTGCAAGGCAGGCGCCGGAACCACTGAGCTAAATCCCTGGCCCCACCCCTGGCTATTTCTGCTTCTGAGGCAGGGTCTCACTGACGTGGTGACTGCCAGGGTGGGCTGCACTGGAGCTGCAGTTGGTAACTGACAGCAGAGACGCCCTGCAGCCTGCACGAAGCCAACACACTATTCGGATTGTACACTTTCAGGTGGGGGGCGGGGCTACCTGGTGGCCACATCTGGTGTGGGAGTTTGTAGATGGCGCAGGGAAGGTCTGCCTTAAAAGCCGAAGGAGGGGAGCCTCTCTCTCTCTGTCTCTTCCCCCACCTTTCTCTCTCTCTCTTTTCCCTTTTGGAGCGAGGAGACCCTTCTACCCTTAGCTATGAGAACGTCAATTTCTGCTGTGTGCACACCTGTAATCCCAGTGCTTAGGAGGCTGAGGCAGGAGGGTTGCCCCAACTTCGAGGCCAGCCTTGGCTACAAAATGAGGCCCTATCTCAAGGAAAGAACACTAAGCTCCTGGCCTGCAGATTCCAGCCTGTACTTTCCCCGAGTCCCCCATTCTCAGAGCTCTGACCTCTGCGAGTTTCACCATACAGCTCCTCGTGGTTCCCAGGCCTTTGACCTTGGCCTGGGCATGCTCCGGGCATCCCGGTTGGCTAGCTTGTGGAAGGCCTGTCCTGGGGCCTCCCCACCTCCTGATCATGCTCGCCGAGGCCCTAACAACCCCCGTGTGTCTACCTGCAGCTCAGCTGTCCCCGTCTAATTGGCTCTTGTTCCCTTTCTGTGCTTGGGTGGAAACCAGGACCTGTGCCGGGTAGGCGAGTGCCCCGCCATGGCTCCACCCCAGCCCTGGAGAACCCTAATCCAGACTACAGCGTTTCACGTCAGGGGAAGCAGCCACGGTGGGCACGCCTGTCACCCCAGCACCCTGCAGGCGGACCCAGGAGGGTCTCTGAGAGTTCAAGGCCAACCTGGGCCGCATAGGCAGGCCCTATCTCAAATTAAAAGAAAAATTAGGGAGAGATCACACTTTATGTAAAGCGTACATTACTGAAGACACCGAATCCTTAAAAACAGAGTGTTTGACACTTCAACTTCCAGTAGGGAGGAAATCTTCAGCCAGGCCAGACTATTTTGGTGGGCACGTTATTTCTTACTTGCTGAACACTGAGCTTGCTGATGTTCTGTGAAGCAGGTTTCTCCTAGATTAACTGCTTGGGGTGTCGTGATAGTTCTTTGGGTTTATCACATCCAGCTCCCATTACAGAACTGTTGACTTTGGAAAGCGTCCAGGCACTAACGCCGCACCTAGTGAACTCTGCAATCTCATCCTTCGAGGTGGGGAGGGCTTTGATGACGGCAGCGCTGAGCCTTGCACCTGCAGCCCGTCAGCCACAACTATCACTACCAGATGTTACGATGCACACGAACAGTGCTCGATTCACATGACCATCGATGGCAGGCTTTTGTTGTTCTTTTCTTGGTTGTGGTTCAGGCTGGCCTCCAACTCAGGGGAATCTTCCTGCCTTAGCCTCCTGTGGGGACCACCATGCCCAGCTCAAGTACCAAATGTTACGAGCTACAGAGCCATCAAAGACTGAAGCACAGCAGTGGGAGAGGAAGGGGCAGAGGGCTCAGATTGCTGCTTCCTTGGGGGTGCAGTCTGTGGCAGGAAGTGTAACTTACAGGTGGGAAGCAGGGCCAGCCCGCTGTGCAGGTGCATTGTGACCTTCTTTAGCTTTGCTTTGCTTTGAGACAGGATCCCGTGTGTGGTCCAGGCTGGCCTTGAACTCACTGTGTATGTAGCACAAGGTGGCCTCAAAGTTATGGTGATCGTACTGCCTCGGCCTCCTGAGTGCTGGGGTGTCGGGTGTGGGCCATCACACCCGGCTGTCAGGATGGCCTTCTCAGAGGGATGTGGGGCCCATTCCTTCCCCAGCTTGTCTTAAGAAACAGGCTGGATCCAGGCTGCAACTGGAAACCAATAAATGCTACAGAACCCACTCGCTGGCCTCTGCAGTACCTTCCTGCAGGGTGGAAGGGCCCCAGGCACCCGGCTCCAGCGACAGGCGCATGTGTGGAATTCACCAGTGGGGCCGAGTCTTCTCACGTCAGTCCCGGCACAGGTCCGAGGTGCCCCTGAGCTCTGGGGGTCACCAGATCTGAAGAGTCCTGAGATCAGAACGCTCCCAGTCTCCATCTGGGGCTCAGGGTGTGGCAGTTGTCCCGGGCCAGCACCTCGCCCTGTGGCTGGGAGTGGACACAGCTGGCGTCCGAGTGCAAGGCCAGGAGGAAGACAGGCACCGAGTTCTCTCTCCCGCTGCTGTGGAAGCCGGCCTGACACAACCCCCGAGCTGGGGTAGAAGGCGGCTCAGGCAGAGCAGGGAGGCCTTGAAAGCCAGGCTGAGGACTTCGGAATGTGTCTTCCTGACTGCAGGGAGATAAAGGCATGGGGAGCCATATGTGAATCACGTCCAAAGGGCTCAGGTTCTCCTGGAAACGTAATCAAAATACCAGTTTTTTTTTTTTGACAGAATACCCATAGCTTTCACCAGTGACTGTTTTTGTGTGTGTGTGTGTTTTTAAAGTTCACAACCCAGCCATGGTTAGGAAGCAGTGTCCAGGCACTGGGGAGTCACCACAATTAGAGCAAACTAAGCTGGGCATGGTGGTGCACACCTATAGTGCTGAGACTTGGGAGGCTGAGGCAGGAGGATCTCTAGGAATTTAAGGCCAGCACGGACTACATGGTGAAACCTTGTCTGAAAAAAAAAAAAAGGACAGATTAATGATCTGAGGTTCGTGCTGTCGACTCATACTCGGCTGGAGCGGGGGTTGGAGGGAAAGTTGTGCAGAAGACAATACAAAACCCCAAGACAATTCCAGCTGGCTGGGAGTGAGGGAGAGGAGATGT